CAACCATCATATTAAGAATTCAGTGGGGTGTGTCAGTATCAGCCACTATTACTCAACATCTTTAGATTACAGTCCCATGCCACTATGAAAGAAAACAAGGTGTGGAGCTGCCAGCACCTCCACTGCAACACCGCCACCACTATAAAAATTGAGGTACCTCATTTTGCACTCATTTCATTTTCTATTCATTTTTGCATAACATAACATTGCATTTAGTTTCATTAATTAATTAGTTCTCTTAAGCATTGAGGACATATGTAAGATATTATTAGCATAATATTATGTCATGGCATCAGTAAAAGATAGGATAGTTAGACAAAATGTTTGATGATACCCGATGATGATGCACTTTTTAGGCTAGATGACTATTGAGAATGATAGAAGTGACTTTAGGGCTTGATGCTTTGTGAATTAGTTTTACACAATTTATATGTTCTCTATACTTAAGGGGCTTAGGAAGTTTTTATGAAATAACTCTGGTTAGCATTGACATTAAAAATATGGTATTGTGCTTAATTGATAAATCTTTAAAGAGCTTTCTTATGTGTGAATTTTGTTTAATCGTGAATAAATGCTTCGACATAGTTATAGAGGGGCACTCCACTTTGCTTGTGGCATTGCTTAGAATTCTCTTTAATAAATGGCAACCAAGTGCATATGAGTGAATGAAAGTAGTCACGTGATGACTCTACCTGACTAGCTTAGGGGTGGAATGTATGCTCCATTTCACTTAGAATGTGGGATGGTATGTGTGATGGATTGACTCCCTTTGTAACAATATAATAAAAAAAAGAGGAAAATGTGTGTATTCAGTAAAAAAATGAGTAAATGTCATGGAAAAACTAGGGAACTCAATTATAAATTGCCTAGAGTCGTTAAGTATAGATTACATACAATCACGCACACAAAACACCACAAAAAATCTTGACCTAGGGAAAAGTAATTGATTTCTTGATATGTCTAGCATGTTGAAACCAATTTTCTGAGGGTTTAAATTCTATTTTTGTCTTGATTTTCCTATTGTTGAAAATTGTCATGACATTTTGTTTGTGTTAATTGTCATCCATTGCTTAAGGACAAGCAATAGCTTAAGTTTGGGGGTGTGATAACTCAATAAAAAAGGCTACTTTAAGGCCTTTTCCACTTAAGTTATTATTTGTCTAAGGGTTCATATAGGTCATTTTAGGTGCATATAGTTGTATTTTGTTGCATTTGTGGTGGTTGTGTTGTTTTACTTTGTTAAGGCGCTATATGATGGGAAAGAAGTGGTTGGTTAGTGATGTGCAGGAGACAATGAGCATAAGGTAAGCTGAGAAGAATGCCACTGCATCACATGTTGCTGAATCATACTACAATGCCTTGGCATTTCTGGCGTAGAAAAGGACAAAACGATATTATCACAAAAGGACAACTGTCAAGGCACGTGTGTGCTGCATGTAACCACATGATTGGGTCCACTGCCACCTGTAAATATAAGCTTCACGTACAAGGAATGGCTTGGGGTATGATGGGTATTTTGAGTGCAAAATCCCAAGAATATCCTTAGATAATATTTGTTATTAAAGGACACCACACAAGAGAAAGAAGGAAATGGTTACACAAGCTTGAAAATCATTATTTTCTCCGTTCTCTCCACCGTTATTCTTTTCTCCATTTTTATTGGTGTTCCTCCATTAGTGAAGCTTGAAGAAGTGGCGTAAGCATCCGAGAGAAGCTCGCACTATAGCAATTCAAGGTGGTTTGAGGAAGTGTCGAACGTGCACACCTTTTGTCTTCTTCTCCAACCTTTGCTTCATTGTTAAAGCTTGAAAAACTTAATTAGGTTGTTTTGTTGAATGAATGGTTGGATATACTCTATAGTTTATTCGAACCCCACCATGAACTAACCTATATTTGGTGGGAGTTCATTTGATGGATGCTTGAAAACATTATTTTAATGGTTGATGATTGTTTTTCTTTTATTTTTACTTGTTTTGTTTATATGTGCTTCATTTTATAAGATTGTAGAAGGCATGAGAATGCCCATTTCTTAGATGAAGACTAGATGTTCGAGATAAATCTAGTCATTAATTTTTAAGTGTTCGAGAGAAACTTAAGTAAGATTAGCATAAACAATGGGTTATAGTTAATTACTATAGCCTAATCTCTTAGTGCTTGAGATAGACTACCCTAGGATTTCAATGACTAAGAGAGGTAGTGCATCATCAATAGTGTAGGCTGCCATAGTTGAGACTGAGAGGAGATACTGTGGCATTCCATTCTATTAGGTTCTTATGACTAGAGATAACGAGAACACTTTTAGCAAACATCGTCGAACAAGTAAAATATTAGAAGACTAAATCACCTAGAGAGATAAGTTTTCAGCTCCTTAAGTGTCTCCACACTATTCATTTCCAAAGTAGTTTCCCATGTGAGGATTGTCAAGTTATTCATTTATTTTCTATCTTTACCATTTTACTTTGCCTCGTCATTTTCATCATTATAAATTGTTCTTTTGCCAAGACATTATTCACTCAATCACATTCCATCACCATCATTCCATTCACTCTCACATTTCCATTGTCGAAGCATCATCTGTGTATATATCATTTCTATACTTAGATAAATTAGTGTAGAGCTGTGGTCAAACTTAAAATTTCCACCAATCCTTGTGGAGGCGATACTCACTCATCAGTTTATTACTTGTTCGATTGTGTATACTTGCACATTATTTGCGTATAATTTTATAGTACTCACAACATGCACCATGTTTTATATCCGATGCCATCGCCGGTGAGGATCTCTACCGCTGTCATCACCACTGACAACTGTCCAGCCACCATGACAGCACCTGCCAAAACCCAATAACCTATCAGAGCCTTTTCCCATAAAAAACCAAAACAAAATCCAAAATCAAATAAAAATCCAAAAACAAATCATAACACATACCTACCCTATGACATCTACCACAAAATGACCCAACACGCCACCATCATCACCCCTACCATGAACCGACTTAAGACCCACCAAACATAAAATAATGGTTTTAAAAAACCAGATGCAACAATAACAAGAAAAGGGAAGGGAGATTCAAGAGAGAGAAAAGGGAACTCCTCGTTCAAAAAAAGAAAAAAACAACAACATATTGTAAAAGGGAGTCTTTCCCCTGAAACCAGGAAACTAAATGCAAAACAAAAAAATGAGAAAAGAGAGGGGTTTACCTCTCGGTCGAAATATAACCGGTGTTCGAAGTCTTCATTGCAGAATTCGAACGGTGAGGAGAATCATATGGAGGAAGGGAGAAACATACTTCAAGATCGGGTCGATCCAACGATGGAGAAAGTAGATCGGAGCATCAAAAGTCGAAGAGTTTTGGTCTTATTTCAAGGTGTTGGAGGTTGTTTCATGCGAAACTGAGACCCGATCTACATTCATGGCGTCAAGACGAGCATCCCAGTGTGTTTTGGGCCCGAATAATCATCAAAGACAGTGACCAACACGATGATCGGCGACGACACTCATCGCCGATTTCTAGAGAAGTATAGAGAGACCATTTCGAATATTAGATCCAATAACTGCACAAGGGACCATTTCGAATATTCGATCCAATAACTGGTAAATCAAATAGGATTAATATTAAAGCTTCCATCTTAGGCCTAATTTCACATTTAGTTCTTAAATTAGGAAATTTTTTAATTTGACCCTCGCTTTTGCCTGAGGTTCCAATTTAATTATTTGAATTGCATAATTGATTAAAATCAAATAAGGAAATGTTTAGAGCCTCCATTTTAGGTTTAATTTAACCTTAGTCCTTAAATCATGGAGAATTTTTTATTTGGTCTTCACTTATGCTTGAGGTTCCATTTTAGTTGTTCAATCCAATAATTTACCAAAAAATGATTAGGGTTAATATTAGAGACTCTATTTTTAGGTCTAAACCTTTAGGCTCTCTAAGCTTCATAATTTGGCACTTTAAGTTAGGGGAAGCCTTAAATAATTACTTAGTATAATTAGGTTGACATAATTGATTATTTGATTGCATTTCGAATTCACAACTAAGGCAATGCTGATTTACCAAAGAATTAATGGTATATCTCTCACAAATATGCTCAGGGAGTGACTACTAGTGATACCCGAAGTAAGTCGACATCATTTTCAAGACCGTATCATGATTTCTTAAAATCAAGGCAATGTCCGGTTATTGGGCATGATAGTTGATCTCCCGCATTCATGCTAGGGGGCTAACACTATTGGCTTAAATAAACGAACATCCTTTTCATCTGTGCATCTATAATGAATTTTCGATTAAGTAAAGTTCAAACTCAGAATTTTCAATTTTAAATTTAAAGTAATCAACTAGGTGCTGATTTTTAAACGCTGCGAGGTACTAATCCTTCCCCACACGTAACTGACTCTCAAACCCGTTTTCTAGTTTTTTTCGTAGACCCTAAACTTGATATTTTAATAAAATAAAATGTTTTATTAAAATTACCCGATGTTTATGGTGTCCCGATCACACCTTAAAATGATTTGTGACAACTCCCAACATTTCAAAATCCTTTCAAAGAAAAACTCTAAGTCGTACTTGTTTTTTTCACCATCCGGGCGAAAAACAATGATGACACACATCAATCTGTCTTTTTACATATTTGACAGTTGAAAGTTTTTTATTTGAAATAAACATATATTTCCAATTCACTCAAAATGCAATACTGAAATAAAAACATGTAATATATAAAAGAGAGAATGTTGCATAATAGAAAATTATTCCAAAGTGTGTTGAAACAAATTTTATTTTACATTATATGCACCTGACTGGCTTTCAAAAGTGCAGCAATTGTCTTTGAAAGAAAGGTGCACTTGTTTTGCCTTAAAATTTAGAAATCCCTTCGGCTTTGTTCTTTAGCCATGAGGATTATTGTCTGATATTAATGAACAAATAATATACCAAGCTGCACTAGCTTTAGCAAAAACTGCTTTTCCAGCAATAAACTTTTTTCATACAACCAGGACAGCAATGATATCAAATATGCATGAGCTTCCACAAAACAAAACAAAAAGATCATTCAGGCAATATACTTCAAAGCCTTGAAATGTTTCAAGTCTATAGTTTCAAGTCTATAGTCATAAATACCACCAGCTCATTAACAATACCACACGATAAATCATGACATACTCGTAACATTTATTCAAAAAAAACACTAAATAGTTAAAGGAATATCCAACCATCAAATAGGCACCAGATAGAAACCCATACATCCTAGGAAAGAACACATGGACTAACCCATTGATTAGAAAATAATATCTTCATCCTTCTCCCTGCCTGCAGATAGCAAATTGCGAGCTGAATTCATTGAGACCCCTTTTTTCAGCGAAAACTGATCCTCAGCCAACAGCTTGGCCTCTGCAAGCTTTCTCTCTATCTCCCTCTTCTTAAAACCTTGTATCTTCTTTAGCCTAAAGAAATCCTCCCTTTCAAGCTCATCCAACTCTCCCTTGATGTAGCTTATGGTATTCTCGAGCTTTGGTTTCACAACATTCTCCAAAGCATTAACCCTACGATTTGTAGTCTTGATTGCCTCATCAAGGGTTAAGAATGATGTCTGGAGAGAAGCAAGCTCAACTAGAACCTCAATTGCTTTCACATAAGCAGCACGACACTGTTGGACCTGTTGCCCACCTCTGGCCAAACCAGTCAGATCATTCTTGGTCTCACCTTCTGTGAAATACTCAAACTTGGGAAGCTTCACTCCTGCAACGTTCTCTTGTCGGGAACGAACTTTAAGATTAGCAGTTTGAACATTCTCAAGGACAACGTGTTTGATGTTCTCACCAGCAACGTACTTAGCCTCAGTTAAGGAAAATGAAGAGGTTTTCATAATCTCTCCCATTGATTCTTTTGTAGAGACTATTTGCTTAAGAATCAGACGAAATTTTACAGTTAGGGCATCACTCTTCTTCTTAAGGAGTGCATGGCCTCTTGTAGCACCCACAAGCCGAGCTTTCATGATTCCAAGCATTGTAACAGTTGGAACCACATTTAAGCGCTGGGATTGACCAGACATTTTTCAGGTATCTGTAGGTCGGATAAATTATAAATTAATAAAAGCAAGAAACAGAAAAGAAAGTTGGTTAACCTAACTTCAAAATGAAGGAAATAAGCTTTCGAACGTTATCAACTTTAGCTTAATTCATCATCCCTTTAACTTTAGTCAACATTTTTATTAGAGCAATTAAATTGCTGAAGAAGATCTAAGTACTGCAGAGAACCATGGAGCACAAAATAATGTCAAATTCTATGAATGAATTGTTGGATGCACACATCTTTTCAACAAGAGTAACATTACTTTTCCATGAAACTAAATAGAAGATGAGCAAGTTCACAATATAAAAATAGCAAACAAATGTGTAAATTAGACAAAAAAGGTTATGGTATCATATCTAAAAGGATCCAAAAGGGTAGATTTAGTACGATATTCATATCCAGCATAGCTAATTTTCCCATATTTTTTTTCTTTTCTTATATAGCAGGAAGTAGTTGGCAGCCAATAGCTGACATGCCTGTAAAATAACCATTTCACATATCGGCCACATTTTGTCTATTGTTATTCTGTTTATTTTCCCAAATTTAAAGTCTAAAAGTCATTTGATATCTTTACCAGATCTTCTCCAACACAAACAACATAGATTGGAGACGCAATTAAAAGATATATGTTTGTCTATATGAGCAAAATTCCATTGAAAATCTAGCATCACATGGAACATTAGAAGCCCATCATGAGAAGAAAAGAAACTAGGCCAATCCCAATGGCAAGCACGACTAGAAAGCCAAGCGACCATGAGAACCTAAAATTTATGATTGAAACTGACTCAAAAGTGAGTATTTAAGATACATAAAAGAAACTAGAACTCAAAGTGAGTATGTAAGATTCATGATCAGACTGTAACACTCAAAGGATCGCCAATCTTAATGATACCGTCCATGTAAAATTTAGAAACAAATCAATGAAAAAAGTAAAAAGCTAGAATAATTTGCCCTAAAAAGTAATTCGCGGGCAAAAAGAAGAAAAAATCTTTGTTTCTTTTCGTTTTTGCCCTGGCAGCGTACAGACAGAGAAAGGTCTCAAGTGAAGAATTGAACTGATCGAATTCAATTCAGGTCAGGCCTCAATTTAAGCTAATTCTTTTATTTTTATTTTTGTACTTGAATGACCAAATCTTCTTACTTGGAATTTAATTTGATCATGAAATAAAAACCTTAATAATGAAAACTGCAACCAGATTCGAGAATTTTCTAATCAGAAAATGAACATGTTCCATTTAATTTACAAATCAAACATCAATTACGTATAAACGAAGTAGAGATCCAAACAGGGATTGAATGAAATTAAAGGAGAAATTAGAAATCGAGGCAGAAAGAAAACCTGAATACGTCGAAACCGCTAAACAGAGTGGAGTTCCGCCACCGGCGTTAAAAGATCGAAAAATGAATTTCGCTGTGCGAATTAACTTTTTTTTTTTATGTCGATTTTGATTTCGATATCTGTTCAAAACTTATAGAGGAAGATGGACAGTCAATTAGGTCCGTGATCCATCTTCTCGCTTGGCCTTTTGTCCGAAAATTAGCGGTGTAAAAACTGACACGACATGTAAAATTAATTGAAATTGATTTGAGTTAAAACTATTTTTGACCTGTGCTATAATAATTCGAAACTGATTCGAGTCGGAAATGGTGTTGACCAGAACCCGAGTTAGACTGAAAATTGTGGATCTGAACCCGACCTGCACTCGACCTGAGAATGACATGAACCCAAATTGAACAGAAAATATGATACTCGAACCCGACATGTATCCGAATGATATGAACCCGAACCCGAACCAAAGATTGACCTGGTAAATAATTGGTATTACCCGACCTGTTTTCAACTTGACCTGTTATGAATTTGACTTGTAAATGATCCGACTTGTTATTAACATGACCTGTTATGAATTTGACATGACATGTAAATGATCCGACTTATATATTACCATTAATAAAATTGTGAGATTTTGAGTTTATAATAAATCATACTAATTAATATGATTGTTTTTTAAATGTTATAATAAAATATTAATTATGATAATTAAATTAATAAATATATTTAATATATTAATTATGATAATTAATATATTTTATATGTAATACTTATATTTATATATTTTAATACTTTATATTTAAAACTTATATTATCTAGTTTAATACTTTATATTATATATTTTATACTTTATATATATATATATATATATATATATATATATATATATACACTTATTAGGGGTGTACAAAATTACCCGACCCGGTTGACCCGACACGTTTATCCGTCGATCCGGACAAAAAAACCAAGTAATTTTCTAAAAAAAATTACCCGGCCAGGTCGGGTACCCGACCCGACACTTTCCGGATTAGGCCAGGGTCACAAAAATTGATTTTTTCGGGTACCCGATTAAGTTTTTTTTTTTAATATAGTAACTAAAATCCAAAATCGAAAATCGAAAATCAAAATGCATGAATGAATCCTTGGATTTCTACTTTTCTAGGGAAAATGGGTATATCTTTCATGCTATGCAAGGGATGCATGCTACTGATTAGGGGTGTTCACGGTCGGTTTGGATCAATTTGGATGTTTTTAAAAAACTTTGATTCGATCCGATTCAATTAAGTTTGACTTAATTCAGTTTGGAGTTATGCGGTTCTTGGATTCTAATTTTTCAAAATAATTCTTGAATTTTTTCATAAAAAAACATCATATGTATAACAAAAGTAAAGAGAATATATATTTTAACAAATGCAAGCTTACAAAGATAATATATATTTTAACAAATGTAAGCTTGTGAAGTTTGCTCACATTAATAGTTTGGCAGCAATTTGTAGATGAACTTATTAGGCTGGTTAAACTTACTTCCGTAATTAAAAATCTCAGCTTAATCTTGCTAGATTTTTCTTCTTATGAATATTAAAAGATGTTGATTAAAAACGTTATACTACCAAAATATTCGACTTGAACGTGTACTGATTCAATTTTGTTGCGAGTGATTTATTTAGTCTATGTGAATTACTGGAGTTAATTGCGTTATTCTTTTATTTAATGACCGTTTAAGAATTATTTACTGTGATGAATAGTTATATTTTTATATTTCGATTTCGAAGTTAAAAAATCTTGTTGATTTTATACATGTTTAATGATTTTGGTATGCATCATTGTGCGAGGTTTTGAGGATCTGGTTCTAGAAAGCCATAAGTAGGACAACAGTTTAGATGGTATGCAACAGTTGTTTAAAGAGTGTAATTGTTCAAACTGGGCAGATAGGAACAATATTAACCCGGAAAAGGCTGCATTTACGAAATACTGCAAGGACTTTATATGCCGGTGGTGTTAGATTGCTAAGATTTTTCATCTTACATTTATTGTAAGAGACTATCGGTTTGATTCGGTTTAGATCGGTTCCGGATTTTCAAATCGAAATCGAATCGAACCGATCATTTAAAAAAAAAAACCAAACACACTAAATCGATTTCGATTTTTTTCGATTATCGATTATCGATTTTTTTTGATCAGATTGGATCTGAACACCCCTACTACTGATGCAAACACATCGTAAGCAACAAAACTTTGTAAATGTTTGTTCCTTGAGGACATAAAAAAATGGAAATGGTTTTAGGGTTTAATTAGATGTGCGAGAATGATTTTCCTTATAGATGATGGTTGAAACTCTTGCACAGTCATCTGAACTGAAAATGAAATAAAATAGCTTTGTGGTGTATCAGTCACAACACGTACATTGATGTTTCCAGTTATGTTTGTTTGGAAACTCTTGACATTTGGTAAAACTTTTTTCACTGTTTCGTTTGATATGCTTAATACACTTCATTTCTGATAGTAAAAAATAGGCATTCGGTTTGCAGCTTTGAAGATATATACAGATTAAAACCTCTTTGTTCCTACTTGCTCAATTATTTTATGATAGATGCTATCTAAATGTTGAGAATCTCATGTATTTTCTATTCACTTTCTGTTCGATTATGTATTGTTTTATGATGATGCTATATAAATGTTGTGATTCTCATGTATTTTCTGTAAATGTACAAGTATAAATTATTTATTAATAAAAAAAATTGAAAAAAATCCGGGTACCCGACTTACAGGTACCCGCAAAATCTGGGTACCTAGAACATTCTGGTCGGGACAGGGGCTGAGAAATCACCGACCCGGATGTTCCGGGTCCCCGGATTTGCACACCCCTAATACTTATACTTTATAATTTATATATGTATATAAAGTACCAAACTGAACAAGCATGAAATTGAAAATAAAAAATTGAATAAATTAAACAACACGCATTGATGAGGGATGAAATTGAATTAATTATAAAATGCGAAGCTGATATTAATATAAAAAATGGACTAGATTGCATACATTTAAAAATTTGGTGAACATAATTTGAAAAGAAATTTATTATGTGATTTACATTTTATAGGATTTTAAGTAAATTGCAAAAATATAAATAAGTATGGGTCAATTTCATATACAAATATAATTTGAAAGACTAAATTGAAAAAATATGAAATTACAAATTGAAATTGAAATACAATAAACAACATAAAAGGATCAAATCAAAAAAATTGTAAAATATGAGGAAAAATTGTAAAATAGACTGAATTCATTAATTTCAAAAGTTGGGAAAATTAAAATAATTATAATACATATGTATGTATGTATGTATGTATGTATGTATGTATAATGTACATTATACTTTATATATACATATATATACTTATATTATATAGTTTATATATGTATATAAAGTACCAAATTGAACAAACATGAAATTGGAAATAAAAAATTGAATAAAATAAACAACACACATTGACGAGGGATGAAATTGAATTAATTATAAAATGTGAAGCTGATATTAATATAAAAAATGGACTAAATTGCATACATTTAAAAAGTTAGTGAACATAATTTGAAAATAAATTTAATATGTGATTTACATTTTATAGGGTTTTAAGTAAATTACAAAAATATAAATAAGTATGAGTCAATTTCATATACAAATATAATTTGAATGATTAAATTAAACAAATATGAAATTACAAATTAAAATTTAAATACAATAAACAACATAAAAGGATCAAATAAAAAATGTAAAACGTGAGGAAAAATTGTAAAATTGTAAAATTGATTGAATTGCATTAATTTCAAAAGTTGGAGAAATTAAAAACAATTATAATATATATATATATATATATATATAATGAATATTATGATAATATGATGCATGTATATATAATGTACATTATGCTTATGCATAGATTAATACATTATAAATATATATATATATATACTTATTTAAATATACATATATAAAATAAGTATAAGTATATATAAACTATAAAGTATAAAGTAAGTGTATATATATATATATATAAACTATAAGGTATATATACTTTAAAGTAAAAAGTGTGTGTGTGTATATATATATATATATAAACAATAAAGTATAAATATATTATAAGTATATATATAAACTATAAAGTATATATACTTTATATTAAATCTTTATATATATTATATACTTTATATTATATACTTATATACATAAAAAGTTTTAGTATAAAGTATATATACATATATAATAATATAAAGTATAAGTATATTATATGTATACAAAGTATAATTATAAAGTATATAAGTATATAAACTATATATATATATATATATATATATATATATAAAGTATATAAGTATAGAATATAAAGTATATATTAAATATAAGTATATAAGTATATAATATAAAGTATATAAGTATTGAATATAAGTATTAAAAATAAAGTATATAAGTATATATATAAACTATAAAGTGTGTGTATATATATATATATGAAATTTTAGTATAAAGTATATAAACATATATAATATTATAAAGTATAAGTATATATAAAAGTATATAATAATATAAAGTATAATATAAAGTATATATATAAGTATATATATTAATATAAAAGTATATATATATATATATATATAAGTATATATATTAATATAAAGTATATACATATAAGTATATATACACTTATTTAAATATACATATATAAAAAAGTATAAGTATATATATAAAGTGTAAACTATAAAGTATATATAATATATATATAAACTATAAGGTATATATACTTTAAAGTAAAAAGTATATTTTATATATAAACTATAAAGTATAAATATATTATATACATATATATAAAGTATAAAGTATAAGAATATCTTATACTTTATACTTTATATATATGTATATAATATATTTATACTTTATAGTTTATATATATAAATATATACTTTTTACTTTAAAGTATATATACCTTATAGTTTATATATATATATATATATACCTATGGGTTATGAACCATAAATCAAGTATATCGGCATTTCTTGATATCGTTGAAACGTAGAAATGAAATAAAGACCATTGGAATATCTGTTCGTCTTCTTAAGTTACA